TCCTGCCATAAAGGAAAATGCTTCTGCTGTCAATCCGAGGTGTTTCTATGTCCTGGAATAGGCAAGATTCAGGCCCTGATATCTCCCCAGACAGTGTTTCAACACCAGTGTTTCGGGAGTCGAGGGGAGAGAAAGTGCCTGACCGTCCTGTTTCCAGCCTTAATCTACAGCGGCCCCAGCATCGACACTGCTGTGACCTGGCCAGATGCTGGCGGGACCGGGGGCACCTTCACCGCCAGCCGCCAGCCAGCGCTGAGTAATCGTGTCTAATTACACTTAACTATGTCGTTACCCCTCCAACACGTGCGACGAGACGCCACGGACGGCCGCGGCAGCCAGCACCTCCTCTCCTTGTCTGCGAAATAATTACGGGGCTCTCTCTTCTGCCAAATGAGGCTGTAATTAACCCTAATTGCTCAAAATGCAACTGGCTAATTCTGGGAGATTAATCAAGAGGGACTCAATTGTTAGTGAATGACTTAATATGACAAATTGCTACATTACCCGAGGAGGCCCTGTCGCCCCCCGCCGTCAGTGAGATGTCCTGGTGGACTCTGGACCATCAGTGTCCACGGGCTGCCCAGCTTTCTGGGATCTGCCTCCCCAAATCCCACCCAAGCAATGGGCCCCTCAGCCAGGAACAGAAATGGAGAGTATGAACAGCATAGATGCCTTCGGATCCTGGTGCACTGTGCGCGCGCGCGCGCACACACACACACACACACACACACACACACATCCGCACACAGTTTCTCCTAGTTCATGTTGCCTCTGTGTCGATCTGCAGAGGAGTTCCCTCCTCAGGGCCGAGGCAGCCCGCACCAGGGAGCACGGCTTGATGATGCAGAGGAGTTCCCTCCTCAGGGCCGAGGCAGCCCACACCAGGGAGCTCAGGGGCGGGAGAAAGGTTTCAGACTCACCTGCCTCCTTGGCCCTGCATCATTGGGCAGTGTAGAACCTGTACAACTGTACATGGCAACCCTGCCCACATAAGTCAAACGCCAGTCCGCCTGAAGGCCTCCAACAGGAACTGGGCATTTAGAAGCTATGACAATCCTTCCGTGGCTCAGGAAAGCGACTGCCTCTGAGTTAGGTCTCACAGGCCTGGGATAGAAGCCAACTCTGGACAGTTACTTTTTTTCATCATTGCAGGCTGCCCACAGGACACCAGAGCATCTTGCCCTGTAGGATCTGCCCAGCTAAACTCTCTGTCTCCTCCAGGCCTTTGCATGCCACTTCCTCGAGTGAGCCTCTCTGGCCCCCGAGTTCGGATCGGGTGGCTTGTTGGAGCTCCACTGATTCCCGAGTTTCTTCTGCTTCTTTCCTATCTATCTCTCCCATGAGGCTGTGTGCACCTCGGAGCAGACATGGACCTGCCTCACGCACAGCCACGTCTTGGGCAAGCGTACTGCATGCTTCTGCAGTGCACTAACTCAGCAGGCGTGAGGGAGCCCTCTGCCCCACCCCAGAGGATTCTGTCTAGGAAGACGGACCCAGGAACCAGTCCTCCCGGCGGCATGCCATCATGGCCACGACCCAGAGCCTGTGCACAGGTGTGGAGGCAGCACAGAAGGAGGGTGAGGTGGAACAGGAAGGCTCCCCAGAAGCTGCGGCATTTGGACTGAGGTTTGGAGGAGGGGGCACTCCAGGCCCTGGAAACAGCATGTGCAAAGGCGTGGGGTGTGCCGGCAGCTCAGAACCCCAGAAACCACCTTCGGCAAAGCTGCGAAGGGCTGCCTGGCTCTCCAAGGATCCAGGTGGAAGGAAACCGGTGTCCCTGAGCTCAGTGGGGTCTGGATAAAGAGGCTGAAGAGGCCAGAACACGGTTCAGACCACAGAGGGAGGCAGACTTCTGCCCAGAGTAGGAAAGCTCTTCCTGACCCCAAGAACGTCCTGCCCATTCCCCTGTTCCTGGGGCGTCCGCAACCCCCTCTCCGCCCCCGTCCCTCTAAGCAGCGCTGATCCATGGACACACCTAGGGGCAGGGCCAGGCCTGGCATCCCACCCAGAGTCCAGCATGGAGAGGCCAAGTGAAACGAAGGGCTGACTAGGTTAGGGAGTGAGCTCCGCTCCCTTCACTGGAAGCATGCAAGAAGAGGCTTCCTCCAGCAGCCAGGACGGACGGAGCAGCCTAGGGATCCGTGTTCCCCAGAGACGCTCCAACGCACTGCAGACAGAGGAAGAGGGCTTACCTGTGGGTCAGGAGGGTGCGCGGGCCCCGGCGTGTGGCACAGGTTCGGGCTCCCTCCGTGGGGCATGTGGCTGTGCTGACCTGCCATCCTGCATGCCAGCCTCACGAGGGCACGGGCTGCAAAAGAAAATGAGGGCTTTGTCACGTGCACGCCTGTCACGCCGTCCTCGCGACAGCCCTCAGCTGGAGGGAGTACCTTCGCTCACTCCACCTCGCAGATGTGGGAGTCGAGGTACAGAGGGGTTAAGTGACTTGCCCAGGGTCACCCAGCTCAGAGGTGGCGGGGCTAGGACTCGACACCTTGCGTGACACACGTTCCCTCCATTGTGCTGTCCTGACTAGGTTGCTAGGATTGTTCCCATTACTTAGAGGGGGAAACTGAGGCTCCGTCCAGGGAAAAGTCTAAAGGTGACCCCCACTGGCAAGGGAGGCACCAGATTCAACGCCACCTGTGCCAGACTCCGTGTTCTTTCCACATTACTGCTCTCCACGCCCCTTGGGGGACAGTTCTGCAACTCTGTCTCCCATCATCAGCCCCACATAAAACCAGGTTGGCAGCCTGGGTGGTCAGGAGAGAGAGAGACCTTGAGTCAGATGGCAAGCAGCAGCTGCAGAAAGGACCCCACGTCCCCATTCTTGCTGGACCCTATGCACCAAACACTAGGAAGGCCAAGTTCACAGTCCTATATGAACCCCTGGGCACAAGGGAGCAGGTCTAATGTGACCTGCCACATTAGAAGTCCCCGGGAGAGTCAGCATGCTAGTCACCAGTTGTCACAGTAACTGTGGCAGCTGTCCGGGATTAAGCGCCACCATGTGCCCAGAACTGAGCTAAAGGCCGTCTGAGTATCACTTCCAGTATCGCCTGCACTCCTGGTGTCCTAGGCAGCCTTTGCCAGCCTCCTAGCAGAAAAGTGCCTCTGGGGCCAGGACCCAGGCCCAGGCACACAGAAGAAGCTGTACGGCCTGAGGGGAGGGTGGCGTCCAGCCACGGTGATCCTCCCGAATGCAAGGGGAGCAACCCTGCTCCTCAGGAGGACAGGCCTTCATGAGTCCACAAGCATTTCTGCAGCAGCTTTCCGTCCACGGCCAGGCCTGAGCAACCCCAGGGCTGCAGAAGATGGACGGGCTGATGCCCGGAAGACACCGGTGTAGTGTGGGCACGTGGCCAGGGCCCCTGCATCGGGCTGCTGGACCTGGCACCTCTCACTGACACATCCTTAACAGAAGCCTAAGGACTGGCCCTGGCCATTGGAACTGTTTCATCTAGAACCCGTGAAGAGACAAAGTCTCTAGGAATCAAATGCCCTTCCTTGCCTCAGGTCAGGACACCCTGAGGTGTAACCTACACTCTGGAGAGCTGGGTGGGGCCATTGGATCCGGTCTGAGATCACTCCCCAGCTTGTCTGCCTCCCCCATACCCTCAGGCTTTTCCCACGCATCTGGTCTCAGGATCACTTCTGGAGAAGCCAACCCAACACCTACCTTTCTTCCTAGACAGACTCTGCTCTTGCAATCTTTCACCTGGTTACCTGCATCCCCAGCTGTCCCTACCAGCCCAAACCCCAAACCGAGAGGCCAGTGGGTTGGCAAGCCCTGCTGTGCTGCATGCCCGTCCTAAGTGGACACACACCCGCCTGAACAGGGGCATTCTGGGCAGTGGGAAAGGAATCAACACCAGCTGGGTTGTTACCCCGGAGATCTCCCAGGGTGTCAGGCTGCAAATCACTCTTCCTCCCTCTGAACTGCAGTTCATTCCAGCTGCAGCAGTTGGGGGACCAGCCCTCCTAGGCTCAGGGATGTCTCTGACCTGTCAAAGAATGTCCACCAGGCCCTGAATCGCCTGCTGAGCTTGATCATCGGCCTCCCTGGCTCTGCCTTGAAGGTTCCTAAGCCTCTCTAGAATCTCTCGAATCTGCGTGCTGGCATCCAGTGTCTAGTGTCCAGTGCCCGGCTCCTCCCTCAAACACCTTACATCAGCATTTTTGGGTAAAACTGCTCTCCGGCATGCTACATAGATGGCAGGACGCAAGGCCACATAGAGCAGATGGCACAGAGTGCAGAGGAGCCCTCGGTAAGGAGAGCGTCCTGCCAAGCATGGCCCAGCCCAGGTGGTCTGCTGTCTGTGAAGCTGCTGAAACGCAACCAGTTCTGACCCCTGCCACATGCACAGCGTTCCATGTGGTTCATCCTTATGTGTATCGATGAACGTAGACCCGCTGCTGTCTCTTGCTTCTGTTGTCTCAAATCAGTGTCACGTTTTGAGGGCATCCTGGAGCTGTGCTTGTCCCTGCCTCCCCCTGGACCGCGGGCTCTCCAGAACCTGGTGCCCTCCCCACCAAACCCTCCTCCTCTGCACGGGCCACTCAGGCCACTCCCTGAAATGCAGATGGGACCACAGCCCCCTCGGCATCTGCCCACCATCTGTGCCTGAGCTCCCACACTGGAGCGCACACCCCCAGGTGACACGGAGAGGACCCGGGCACGAAAAGCCCCAGGATAAACAGATAAACAAGAGCAGCTTCCCGAGGCAGCGTTGTTACTCAGGGGGAAATGTGTGTGACAATAAACCGGATACAGACGGAACAGAATGTAAAATGTGCATGAATTTTAAGATAAAACTGGGGACTCCTGCAGGCTCTGCAGCTGCTTCTGGCTGCACCGCACCCCCAACCCCTCAGGGTGACATGTTCACTGTCCTCTGCCCTTAGGGAGACCTCCAGGGAAAGGTGGGAGGGGATCTGTCTTCAGCAAGAAGGTTCTGTCTTTATCTCAGAAAGCCACCAGCACAGCCCAGGGTGCAACCCCACCTGCTCACAGACCTCACCTGGACCGGAAACCATGGCCAGTCGCTGTCTGACTTCCCTTCCCCTCATCCCGCCTCATGCGGCCTCCTGTGTGTGGCCAGGAGGCCTGGGTTTATATTTTGACCCTGTCAACTCCGTAGCTGGGACCTTGGCAAGTCACGCTGGGAAGAAACCTAGTGGGTATTTACACAGGTCACTCCCCACATCCCCACGTGGCATTCCCACATCTGTGCCCATGGGCAGCAGTCTCCGGAGGCCCCTCCCACCTCACACACACACACACACACACACACACACGGCCCCAGGCACGGTCCGTGGGAGGCCGCTGGCCTCATCAGAAATAATAGTAACTACACACCAACAATCGTGTCATCACTACACTGGGCCTGCTTCCTACACGTCAGCTCTATCAGCCCACATCGTTGTGACAATGCCACCAGATAGGGTCTCTTATTGTTCCATTTTACAGATGAGGAAACCGAGGCACGAGGCGGCTACGGGGTTTTCTCAGGTCACATGGATCGCAGGTAGAGGAGCCAGGATTTGCCTCAAATCTCCGTGCTGTGCTCCACAGCTCCCCACTGCACGAGCCGCCTCCGCGGCAGAACGAGGCCTGTGCCGAGGGAGCAGGGGTGATCCCCGGGCCAGTGGGCCGTGAGGGGCCATCTTCTTCCACTGGGGCCCCATGGACAGGAGCCCCCAAGAGTCCATTGCTGGAGGGCACCAAGCTGGGGAGGCGGCACTACTGTCCATGTGCCTTTTCTGTCAAACTTCTGGGGTTTGGGTAAATTACTGTCCCTAAGAGCTGTTCTATCCGGAAGCTAATGGAATGCAAAGGAGGGCCCTGCAAGTCACAGTCCCCCCAGGTGCCAGAGAGGGGCACGCGAAGGGGCAGGAGGCAGGAAGGGAGGAGGGAAGGAGGGGAGGGAAGAAGGCAGCGAAGGTTCTCTGAGCTCTTGGTGGGCCGGGCCTTTCCCCTTCATCCTGGGGCTGCTGGTAGACCCATCATACAGATGGGGAATCAAGCTCAGAGAGGGGAGGCTCACGGTCATGTCTCAAGTGAGCTACAGTGGGGAGATTTGAACACAAATCTGGCTCTCAGACTCCCAAGCCCCTCCTAGGTTCCAGACAGCCATTGCCTCTTGAGGCTCTCCAGAGGTGCTGCATTTCAAAGTATTGCATTCTCTCTGTCCCTACTCCAATAGAAACCCACCCCTTTTACCCCAGAAATTCGTGCCAGAAAGTGCCTCTCAGGGGGCTCAGAGGCAGAAAGACCAAGGTAGGGGATATGGATTTGGAGGGATGACATGGAGAGCGGGGCAAAGACCCGCGACACATGCCAGCACCTCTGGGTAACACGGGGAGCTGCCTGTCCCCGTGGCTCTCGCCAAGTCTCAGAACAATGAGGAGCAGGCTGCCAAGCCCAAGTCAAGGGCCAAGAATCCGTGGAATGCCAGCCCTGCAGGCCACTCAAAGAGGGCCTTTCTTCTCTCTTCCAGGGAGCGAGGGCCCTGAATTTCCAAGGTGCCGTGTGAATGTACAGCGTGGCTTCCCGGCCTGGCTCCTGGCGTGTGTGACTTACCCGGTGCCCAGGGACCAGATCAGGATGCACCTGGGAGTTAAGGCCCAGGGCCTGTTTGGGACCAGGGTCTTTTAGTGTCTGCAAAATGGGGCTAATAGTAAGATCTGTCTCTTAGGGTGACTGTGGAGATTCAATGGGTTAACAGACATGTAAACTCCTTAGAACAGGCACGTGTGAAGGGCCCTCTGAGGCTTCAGCTGCTACCACCGTCATTAGTTCTGGTCACCACCGGGCAGTGGAGAAATGATAGCCTCCATGTGACAGACTTGGGAACTGGGGCCAGAGATGGGTAGGGACTTGCTCAGGGCCACATGGTTGGTAGGAGACAGAGCTGGGGCTCTATCTACTGCTGTGCGTGGCCCCTTTGGGCTGACTCCGGGGCAAACGCCTTCTTCATCACTTATGGGAACTGTGGCTACCTCTGCAGAGCCCACCGACATGTTCCTTGCGCTGGCCTTGGACAAGGCTCCTACTTCTGTAGCGTGTGATCCTGAGGGGACGTGGGGACTCGGGTTGAATTGGACACGTCCTAGAAGGGACTGGCTCCTGCTGAGCTGGGCTCTGACGTTTCCCAAGTGGCCTTTCCGATCAAGACTGTCGCCTGGCCCCTGCCTCCCAATTTCTGGAAACTTCATCTAGAGGAAAACCGTGTCCCTCCTTTGCGTCCTGCCAAATGCCACACCTCGTGGAGGCCGGCGGTTCGTTGAGGTCCTGACCTTCCC